GTGACAAAATGTTTGGTTTACTGCAAAAGAGTCGGAGTTTGTATAGACTGTCGGCACCCGTTGTCCATCGGAGTCAATGGTTAAGCTCTTCGGCGGCCAATGACGTGTCGGCGAAGTTCGCGAGGGCTCAGGAGGAGCTCAAGAAGTTGAAGTCCGAGCCCTCCAACGACGTGAAGCTGCGATTGTATGGTCTCTTCAAGCAGTCGACGTCCGGAGAGTGCAAGACATCCAAACCGTCGGCCATTAAGTTCGTAGAGGCGGCCAAATGGCAGGCGTGGAGTCAATTGGGATCCATGTCTTCGGCCGATGCCATGACTCAGTACGCCGAGACTGTCCACCTGTTGCTGAAGGAGGCGGGTGTCGACTCGGCCTCTGGAGGGTCGGCCGCCACCGATGCTGACGCCTCTGCCGCTGATAATGAGATACTCGTGGAGAACAGGAGTGGTGTTTGTGTGATAACTCTGAACAGACCGAAGAAGTATAACGCCATCACTGATGCCATGTATGAGGACGTGATTACGGCGTTGAATAAGGCGTCGGCCGACGAGTCCATCAAATTAGCACTGATTACAGCCAACGGCGACTACTACTCGAGTGGCAACGACTTGAGTACGGATGACATATTGATTGGGGTTTTGGTGATCACTCGCTAACCACTGCTTATCTCCCAATTGTAGGTAACTTTCAGAAGGCATTCAAGATATTCAAGGGAGACATGAATGCCGGCGCCACGCAGGCCGCCAAAACTTTGCAGCGATTCGTCGCCGCATTCATTGACTTTCAAAAGCCACTGATCGGTGCAGTGAACGGACCCGCCATCGGCATCGCTGTCACTACATTAGGTCTGATGGACGTCGTGGTGGCCAGCGATACGGCAACCTTTCAGACGCCCTTCTCATCGCTGGGACAGTCGCCCGAGGCCTGCGCCACACTTACCTTCCCATTCATTATGGGTTACTCTTCGGCGTCGGAAATGCTTTACTTGAACCATAAGATGAGTGCCGACGAGGCGCTCAACTGCGGCCTCATATCGCGAATCATACCGTCGGCGCAGTTCAAGACACACGTCGACGACTGGATCTTCGGCGCCAACGGTCTCGTGAAGACGTGTTACCCGAAATCAATGCAATTCTCGAAAGCGTTGGTGAAGAACGAGGCCTTTCGCCAGAGATTACACGAAGTGAACAAAGAGGAGTGCGAGACCATCAAAGACCGGTGGCTGAGCGACGAGTGCGCACAAGCGCTCCAGAAGTTCTTCACCCGCAAGACCTAAATCGATGGTACAATCAAACGAATTATATCTCATTTTTTATTGTTTTTTGATTTATAACAAACGCTTTAAATATTTTTATACCCTATTTTATATACTCTCTATTTTTAATGACAATTATTTTAGTGATTTTTTAATGTGAATTAAACGAATTATTAATTGAATGAATAATACCCGAAAATAAACTATTACTGGATTACAATTACCATAATATG